ATTTGTAGATGTAACTTCTAACTCAGAGCTTTTATAAAATTTCAAATTTAAGAAATAGTATATTTCATGCCGATTTATAAACACTTAAAAATCAACAGTCTAGATAGCTTATTATAAGATGGAGTATTTTTAAGAATTGAAATTTCTTCTTTTTTTGACCCTCGTATTCACACATCTTGAGGTCGAAACGATCATTTAATTCGTTTCTAAATGTCGAAACCATAGTTAACAAGTTCCCATTTAAAACACTATTTTTTTCAAAAAAATACAAACTTCTTCCCTTTAACTTTATTTCTTCATTAACTTAATATTATTGAATTTTCGAGAAAAGCGCATTGGAGTGCTGAGGGATCCGATAGGAGGGAGTTGAAAATCCCCTTCGCCCTTGGGAAACTAGTCAAGAAAACTCCCCTAGGTTTGTAGTTTAAAGATAAGTACATTAACAATGAGATTAAATTAAGAATCTTGATTTAACAAAAAATTTCATCAAAAATTTCACTAATGAGTTCCTTTAAAAAAAATGTATGAAAAAATACAATCAATATATTCCCCCAAAAAAGTAATCCAAAAAATCATATATCTCAAAATAATAGGTAGAATTAGAAGAAGAATAACCCAATAAAAACTATTTTTTCCATTTTTCTTTAAACCCATAACGTTTTTATAAAGAGCAAGAGAGAGATTCTAAAAGATTTAGGTAGCTAGGAATTTAATGTGAGATTTGAATTTGCTTAAGCATTTTCTTGTTTTTTTTTATATTTAGAGAAGTCTGATTAATTTCATATTCTATTTTTTATTTCATTGTTGAATACAACATAGCATTTTGGATGGACCACTATTTTATATATTTGGGTCTTTGTGTTTATTTTTAATTAAATACAATCCTATATTGATGGTGTTTTCTTTTTTGAAAAATAATAATCATATACCTTGGTTCACAGTACTTGTTGACTGCTAATTAGTTATTATGTTTAGTATTATTGTTGTTGTTTCAAGTTATATTCGCAATAAATCTACAATATGTTTTATGCTGTGAAAACAAAGTAAACATTGGTGTTGGATTTATTGAAAGTTTCAACAAAAAATAGTCTAAGTATTATTCCAATGATACTAATAAGGCTGTGAAATTATTGTTTAATGGCTTTAATATATCTATAAATCATAATCCTATATTGTGTCATCTTTACATATCCTACTTTTTCACTGTTTTGTTAACCAAATCCAAAATATTCACGATTCTATAATTTACCTTATTTGGTGATATGTAGTTTTAACTTGATTTTTTTCATATTTTGAAATAATACAATTTATTATCCGATATTTTGATCTGCCGATATTTTATTATTCGCCAACTTGCTACCTATGATCAAAATATGTGATAGAGGATTTTTGAGGTACGCCTTACTTCAATAGTATAGGGTTGTAGCTTTCTACAAACTTCTTAATTGTTTTTCGGAGGATGGAATGTCTAGAGACATAGCATTTTGCTTTTGTACAGTAAGCTGAAATTGCCAACTCAACTCTCTCTCTCTCTTCCTCTCTCTCTCTCTCTCTCTCTCTCTAGGTTTCGATCACGCCCTTTCCACCCTAGAAAACAAGGTATGAAAGCTTGTACATTTCTCTCTCTATAATTCTATGAATACGTACAGATTGAATGGTTAAATTTCTTTTCAACGTTTGGGCCTTTATCTCTATATTAATTTTGCTGTTTTTTAATCTGTGAATCATGAATCAAAGTTGATGGGTTTTGGTAATTAGAGCTGAGGAGTGGCTGGAGATCGAAATTGAGAGGGATCAGTCGAAATTCAGCTTGTTTGTTGGCTTTACACATGGATTTTGGAGATGGGTCTCCTAGATCTAGATCAGAGGAGAGAGAGAACGATGAAAACAGTGGTGAGAACCCTGAAAATCCCATGAATTCTTGTGAGAGAAACCACCAAGACAACAAAGGTGAGAACCCAGAACTCCCCATGTGTTCTAGTGAGAGAGAGAAGAACGATAGCACAGGTGAAAGCCCTGGAAAAAATCCCATGAGTTTTAGTGAGAGAGGAAATGAGGAAAAGGAAGAAATTTTAGAGATTTCCAATGAAAGCACATCAGAGATTAGCAGTTCTCGTTTAGCAGTGGACGAAGGTCCAGAGAATTTGAGTGAGAGAGAAAATGATCACACCTTAGGTGAAAGTGCCGAAAATCCCATAAATTCTAGCGAGGGAGACAAAGAAGAAAAGGAAGGGGAAGAAAGCCCAAAAACCCCCAAAAATTTCAGTGGAAGAAAGGAAGAAACAAATGGATCGAATTCTGTAATTAACCATGGTCCTGAGAAGAAGGTGGGCGTCGAGACCTCGGTAAATAGTACTGGGTCTCATGTGGGAGAATCAATGGGAAGCGATGATAATTTAGAGAGAGAAAGAGGGAACTCCATCGAAAACACTGGAAAGGAAACTGGGTCGCCTTTGGACCGGTCCGATGTCAAGACAAAGGGAGCAGGGTTGAGGAAATGGAGGAGAATTAAGAGAGAAGTTGCAAAAGATGGAGATTCATCTCAAGATTTGCATAGAGTGCTTAAGCGAGACTTCTCCATCGTTGAACAAATCAAAGCAGGCTCGGTTAAAGTCTTAAGTCATGAGGAAAAGGTGAAGAGTGAGGGCTCAATTGGCTCTGCAAATTCTACACTTGGTCTAAATCTGGCTCCTGGTAAAGCCATATTTGTAGCTGGTAGTGACTCTGATAATAGTGAGGATCGAAGTAGCAAGTCTTCTACAGCAGCTAGTGTTTCTAAATCAAAACCCAGCATGAAAGAATTTAGCAGCAAGTTCATTTCGAAAGAGAAATTGAAAACCCCAATTAGAACTATGGGGAGTAATCCTCAAAGGACGAGTCTTCAGCGCAAAGATTTGGTCGATGCTAGTAAGAAGCTTAGAGCGGATCGAGCTGGTTCCAAAAGTGGGAAAATTGAAAAGGAGAAAGCAAATATAGATAACCACCATGTTGAGGAGGAAGGTTCATCTAGTGTGGAGTCTGATTTGCGAAGCTTGTTCGGGGTTGGAGCTTCAGCAAGTAGTAATTCTCTCTATAAAAGCGGTAGTTTCAGTGCTCTTAGTAATGGGAGGTGGGTTGAGATGGAAAGAAACCTATGGTCTTTGAATTATGGCGAGGAGAATGCAAGCTATGAGCATCAGAGTGGTGAAGGTTCCCAGATGATCCATGAAGGTCATGGTGGTTCTCAATCTAAAGAAAATGGAGGTGAAATTGATTGTGAGTTGAGAGAGAGTGAGAAGGAGGAATGCGTGGGGGGCTCTGAGGGGCACTCGAATGGGCAACATCTGCCACAAATCAACCCGGATTCATTAGAGCAGTCACTCATTCAGCTCCAGGCTGCGCAAGAAGCCCTTGAGAAAGGTCTGCTTCTTTTCTTGTTTCTTAAGTCATCCAATTCATTTTGTTTATTTAATGTTGCTAAAGTGACCCTCTCCTCCAAGGTTATTTTGGTAACTAAAGTTGACTTCACTATAATTGGGGCTTCATGAAAGTATGTCAATCAAATTAGGCTGTAGCTATAGATGCATCATTATATGTTCACAACTCTCTTGAGGTAATGTACTATGTTTGAGAAATAGGATCTAACTAGTTCTCATAACATTTGCTTGTGTGAATTTCTGTCATGCATTCAGGTTTCCCCGCCACTGTGGGATTTATATTTGACAGGTTTGAATTTGTGTGTTATTAAGAGATATCAAACTCGTGTTGTTTTAGCTGGTCTTAGGCCTTTTGTCTTCTCTGTGGATTTTGTTATGAGGACGATGCCTTGATTTTTTGGGTAGTGTCGCTCTTTCATGCCAGAAAGTCCTCTTCAATTTGGGTTTGTCTGATTTGTTTTAGAATATGAAGGGGTCTAGGTTGTGCTTTAGTTGTTCTCTTCTATTCTTTTGGGTGTTGGGTATGTAGGTTTGAGAGAGTGGGATAGATACAACCATTTGGAAGCCTCTTGTTCTGTGTTCTCTTTACGAGCAGGAATTCATTGTCACTAATTTCTATTGGACTTTCTTCTTAGTCTTGGCTATAGTTCCTTGTTTGGCCATTCATGTATATCTTGGTTGCTAGATGGTTTTGTACTTAATTTTTACGTTCTCTGTTCATCTATGGTTTGTCAAGGTTGCTGCCTTTATGCTTATAACTCAGAGTTTTGGAATGCTCAAAATGATGAATTACTGGTAAAAAAAAAAAGCTCATTCTACTAATTGGATGGAGGCCACTTAGCAGTGGGAAATCTCCTTTTACCAGGCCAATCCTTTCAGTTTTGCCTCGACGTCCAAAAGCTAGGTGATTGATTATGGTCTATACGGGTCTTCTGGTTAGGCACATCAGCTGATTATCATTTCATTTTGATGAAAAGATGAAGTTTCAAATTATATGATGTGTTGGGGTAATCTTTAACTTAAATTGATCAGGTTTTTTATGAGTTTTAGTTTGTGCTTAAATTTTGTTTGAGATTCTGTTTTTCCTCAGTATTTGTCATCACAGTACTTCACCTATGGAAAATAGGTTATTTTGGCTGCAATGCAAAATACGTATTGGGTGCCACTTTAGTAATGTGAAAACAATATCAGTCAAATTTAGTTTGTGCTCCAAGGATGGTGCTCATAAAGACAGTTTTGTAGGAATTGTGTGTCTCAGACACATTTTATTAGCCACCTTTAAATTTGCATTTTGGTGGTTTTGGGCCTATGTTCTTTCTTAACTTATGCTTGTCCTGAAAATGTTTTTGTTCATTAATGTGGAAGGTCTAACAATTTCAGTCACAAACCTAGTCATGGTTTGCCTAATTAAATTTTGACATACACCCAATCCTTTGGTAACTGTAGTTTTAATTATTTGAAAATATCAGGGAAGGTATAATGCTAAACATGAATGTGAATGCAGTAGGATTAGTTTGGCTAGGTATGGGACATAGTTAACTGTTTGGAAATTTTGATTTTTCTGTTGTCCTTTCTTAGCTGGGCTTGTAAACGCTAGTCTTTTCTGAAACTACAATAGCATGTATTGTGTGACAGATATCATACCTTACTATTCTCAATGGTTGATGCATATATCGAGTATGTAATTATGCCAGAACTGGTCGACAAACTTGAAAATGATGGATCTGGTCCAATCCATTGAGAGCAATTAGAAAGAAAAAAGAAAAGAAAAATACTGAAACTTATGTCATAAAAGTTAAGAAGAGATGTAAGAAATGCATATATTAGCAAAAGAAATATAAAAAATGCATATTTTCTTTTTGTGGGTATATCAGAGTTGGGTGAACCTGGGAATACTGCTGCATTTTTTAACATTTGATCCATCAAGGCAGTGTCTGAATCCCAGAAAAAGAAAATGGACTGCATATATTCAAATTATCTTATATTATAAAATTATATTTTAAGTATAGCAATGAGAAAATATAAAAATTACATCAAATTAAATGCCTAATTTAGTAAAAAAATTAGTTTATATATAAAACATATGCTGAACTCAAATATATGATTTCGATAAGCTTGAGACTTTGGTAAGTTTAATTCATCAAATCATATTGTATTGACTTATGAGGTGTCGTAACATGTAGAAAATAAAAAATTGGGGGCAATTTAAGATGTGGCAGTAGTAAGTGTCAACTATATGACCTGAATGGTCCCTATAAGTAGCATAGAAAGAAGTTACTAGAGCAAAAGATAATTCAAAAGTCTTTATTACAAATGCAACTGGCCCATGACCACCCTCAAAGCTAAAGAGGGCAGCCATCTATGTCACCCATACATGCTCTAAGGGCGTTGTTCCAATTCAAACCAGTTGGTGGCCAGTTTACCTATGGTATTTATGACATTTTGAAGTTTTTTTACATATTCTTTGAATTTTTTTTCTTTTTTTAGTTTATCATAATTGTCATTTTCTTCTTTCTATGGCCTCTCATATGATATTTCAAACGAATTTATGATCATAATACATTGATTCTATTACATCATCCTCATCAACATCATTAGAGTCTTTTTCCAACTATTTGGGGTTGGCTACACAAATCCAAAGCTTGGTCCACCCATTCTGATCTATCAAGGGTCATACCCTCAGTGAGGCCACAAGTCACTATATCTTTTCTCACTACTTTCAACCATATCATTTTGGGCCTATCCTTTGCCCTTTTTGAGCCTTCTACTTGAACCAATCCGTACCTCTCAATATGTGTTGTATTGGGTTTATGCTGCACATAGTGAGCCCACTTAAGTCTACTTTCTCTTATCTTATCACCTATTGGAGCCATACCTAGAATGTATTCATTTTGAAATTGGTTCTATTACATAATATTTTTAATTTTTAAAGATTTCCTTGTTGTTTTTATAGTTTTGGTTGTTTAAAAATTCGAACTCAGTGGCTGACTTGAACATTGCCAAAATTTTGTTGCCTCAATGAGTTAAACAGTAAACCCAGAAAATGCTGCAAGTTTTTCAATATTATGTGAAAATTTTTAAAAATTGATGTCCGAATAAACCCAGCTCAACAACTATGCAACCACAATGATACCGGTCTAGAAGAGGCCATTTGTCACTCGATTAACCAAAAAGCACTATTTAAAAGGAAATTCTCTGGCTATGAAAGTCAAGTATTGAATATCTCAAGTTGACTCCGCGAGTTCAGGTTTTCCCTTTTTTTCTTTTTTTTGGGGGGGGATGTGGGGGGTGCAGTCCAGTTGTAGGTTTCAAGCTTAAACTTCAACAGACAAGCTGATGCCCAATCCTATTTGTAAACAAGATTTTATTCACCTTTATTGAATGAGTCTGCTACACGAGTCAATAATGGCCTGCTGAGGCCCTCCTCAGCTTTGACTAAACCCCTAATTGCTGTAGGTTGGGATTCGTTGAACCATACTTGTGGTATCATAGGATTTTTTATACTGGACTAATTGAAAATTATGACTCCTTTAGCTTGTCCATTTCGAGGTAATAAAGTCTTTTCTTTCTTTTTTTAATGTTTTCTTTGGACTAAGGAAGCTTTGTAAGATAGATATCTATGCCAAAGATTACATGCTCCTTAGGGAGCATAATGTACATTCGCTCCCTTGGGTAAAACCTAATAATCTCCTTAGGGAGCATAATGTGCATTCGCTCCCTTGGGTAAAACTTATCTAGGAGTTACTTTATGACTCCAAATTTTGGAGATGTAACCTCCTTAAACTAGTGCCCATCTCAACAGGAAAAAAAATAACGTCTTAAGATTGAACAGAAAGCATCCTATATTTTGGACGGATGAGTCCGAGTGTTTTTAGTTGTTCAATTTTTTTTTTAAAATACTCATTTGGTTATTCTAAAGTGGATCCGGAAATTTTAAACTGAGAAAATCCTCCTAAGCAAGTCTCTTGCCTGAGGGAGTAAGTGCTACTGGTGGAGCACGCTATATGCCTTCCATTTCTAAATTTATATAATAAGAATTGCCATTAATTTAAGAAAGTTAGTTGAAAAGGAAATGGTAACTTTTAGAAGAATGTATTTAACTTGAATGGTCTTATGATATTTAATTAATTAATTACAATTTTAACTTGAAAACATTTGGAGATATAATAATAGTTGATAATATTTGGTTCATTAGCCATGTTGATAAACAAAGCTATCGAAGTCTACTAACTGCAGTAAAATATATTAAACTTTATTTAATAAATCAACTGAATCTGATATCTTTCACGTAAAGATCTTTTTGAATCTTGGTATCTTCCCTCCAAAGAACTTTATGAATCTTGATATCTCCCCCCTAAAAATCTTTGGGGTTCTTTCTGTATTCATTGACTGGCAGGGGGATAACTGTATCTTGTAACTGGTAGAAAGATAGTCTTACTGTTGCATTCTTTTTTAATGAGATTTTGATATAGCTGGGGCTTTAATTGCAGAAATTGAAAAAGTGGGTGAAATCGGAAAGGAAGCCAATTCTCAACCATCCAGTTCTGGTGTTGAATCTGGTTCATCTGAGCTGAATCAGAGGATAATTCTCTTAGGGCACAAATTAAAACAAGCATCTGCAACAATCGAAGCCAAAGATGTCAAAGTTCAAGAGCTTGAAGCCCTCTTAAACGCAACAGGTTCATCTAAAAACCCAACAGGGAACAGCTTTCGGCCAAATTCACCAGAAAATCAAATGGGGAGCAACCTCGACAGAGATATGGAACTGGAGCTCGAGCTTCTGTTTGAGGAGAAGATGAGGGCTGAGATAGAGTATCTGATGATGAAGAAAACAACCCAAAAACTCGAGAAATCGGTTCTCGATTCCCTCTCTCTCCTGGAGGAGAAGGAAAGTTTGATTGCAGAGCAGGCTCTAGTGGTTGCAAAGTTGAAGGAGAAGGAGGTGCAGGCTTTTGGATTGGAGAAAAAGGCAAAGAAATTGGAGGCTTCTTGCAACGAGTTGTTAGAGAGAGAGGAGGTTCTAAAGTTGCAGTGTAAGGTGTGTAAGCTTGGCGTCTGTTGTTTCTCACAGTTGTTTTTGCTTTGTGTTGCATTTGCTGTGTTCATATCGCAGCTGTTGCCCCAGTATCAAGGGACCGTACCCACTTGAGAGACGAATGTCTTTTTTGGCTTGTGTAATTTGTTTATTAAATGAAGTTGGTGTTTTTTTTTTTTTTGCCTTGAATCATTGTTGGGTCTCCCCCTTTGTTAAATGGTGATAGAGAGAGAAAAGATTCAAAACGACCATTTATGTTTGTTAAATAATGGGGTTTCATAGGAATTAGGATTGAGGTAAGTTAAACAATTAGGGGAATATGATTTAGATTGGAGTGGAGAAAAATATTCAAAATGTTTTGATATTAGGATTAGTATACAATAAGATTTTATTTTTTGTATAAAAAGGTCACCATCACCTTTAACTATTAGATGTGAAATATGACGGTTTAAAGTGTATCATAATGTGAAAAAATTTTATTTAGGACTTTATGTCCACACCTCCAATCACTCGATTTTACATTTAAAGACTGATAATAATTGTGACTTTATTATATCAAAAGCAAATAGTTTCAATGTATACATTTTTTTTTAAAATATCGGTTTCTTCCTAATTAGGTTTAAGATGGAAATGATGAGAGAGAAATAGAGGGCAAATTGGAACCTACTAACAAATGAAAATTATGGAAAGATTAATTTAGGAATACCTTTATATGTTGTTCTACATTAATTTATTATATAATGTATAGTTGTGATAATGTGTGACATTTTGATCGGCTTATTTAATTGAATAACTATCGCGCTTTAAGATGCCTTTGAGTTATGGAAACAATTTTTTTAGTCCCCCGACTCATACTATTCTCGTGCGGGTTCCTTGTAGTACGTATTTTTTATATAGATCTTGTTCCCAAATTTGTAGAGATCCATGATCTATACTATGATAATCGTGAAAATAAAAAATAAAATAAAATATTAAAATAATTTTGTAATTTTTTTCTTCTTATCCATTGGAGAGAAATCTTTACTTGTAGAGGTTCATCTTAAACATGAACATTGGATAGAAATCTTTAGTTGTAGAGGTTCATTTTAAACATGAACATTTGTAAGTCAAGCAAGTTAGCGTGTCCGCTGACTCATAAAACATTTTTCCTTATATTATAGGGATTGTAAATTATGAGACTGTTCATCTTTCTTACAAAATGGTCACAATTTCTCCCAAAACGTTAAATGTCAAATTAGATGCCTTGGTTTGTCACAAAGTTGAGAAATTATTTTTTTCATGAACTTTGAGTGTAGTTAATATATGCTAACAACCACTCTCGATTGGAGATTGTGACCTCTTAGTGCTAAAAGTGAATGGCCTCTTTGTATATTTTTTTAAAATTATAGACGTGTAGTGATACACAAAAAGCATGTCCAATGAATTATGAGGTTTTATAGGATCAAGATAAAAAAGGAAATAAAAACATAATTATGGGGTTATTTACTATCAAGATCAAATAGATATCGGTCTTGAAATGCATTAAATTATAGTGAATCAAGTTTTCTATAAATTAAGATAAATAAGAAAATAAAACATATTTCCCAAAAAAAAAAGCAAAAAAGAAAGTAAATGGGGTTTTTGAGTTTTTAAAGATCAATATCAAATGCTATCAATTTCAAATTTCATTTAAATTATGTGTGTGGACACATATAAGCTCGCCCATTTATTAATGGGGTAAATTACAATCTAAATATTTATGAGATCTCTTAAAAAAAAGTTGGATCGTACTTAAATTTGGGTATATTGCGCTTCTTGATATGTACGATCTTTTGGCATATGCCACATAAGAGATCGACAACAAGAGCGAGAGAAATTCTACAAGATTTTAAAAAAAGCATTGAATTTCTATTTTATAAGGAAATGATAAAAAAAAAAAACGTGATTTAGATTGAGGCCAAGTACTCATCTCACATATTCCATTTCATCTTCATCATTAAGGGGAGTGATTAACCTGATAAACACGAATGAAGTTTAAAATATACACTGAACCAACAGTGACATCTCAAATAGCAAAATATTGTACATTATTACGAAAGTGGGATATTTGTGAAGAATTAAGATAAAGCCAAATCAAACATTCAAGAGAGAGAAAAAATTCAATAAAAAAAAGAATAAATTATATAAAGGTGAGGCCCTAAACAATCAAATTAAGGTGCACCTCAAAGAATCACCGGAAGAGATTGTTTCGATACTCAAAAATTCTCAATTTGATGAGCTCGACTTCAAAATATATGGATATAAGAAAAAAATGGATTTCAAGTCTTGAAAATAATGCATGTTGTACTACATTTTCGGACCGTCAATTTTCAAAATTTTAAAGTGTTTATAGATAAGGCCATCACAAAGTTTTTCATTAGTGAAATAACATCTTTCCACACTATTTGAAGGTGCACTTTACTTTTGATTGTTTAGAGCCTTGGCCTTATACAAACTACACCCATAAAAAACGTCTAAGTGAGAAACTAAATCACCCCAAAGAAGAAAAGGAAATATGAATATTAAAAACTAAATATACCCTTATAAAGTAAAAATATTAGATATTGGCATATTAGATATTGGCCACCCTAATCAGAGGAGAAAGTTTCACCATAATTTTCGTAAGCCTACTTATGAAAATGTAGGGTTATGCATTGCTTTTGTTAGCTATTTTTTCGACGATATTTCAGTGGAAGATGCAGTTAGCATGCAAGCTTGGCAATACATATATTTTTTAAACATAATTTTATCCTAATTTTTAAAGAATATATAATCTTTAACATAGAGATCATAAATATGATAATTTTTTTTAACTAGAAATAATAATTATATTAAGAAAACATTTGGACCGTTAGTTACAATTGTTTTTAGATGGACCACTTATTTGCATCCATCTTTAAAATGGATGCTTTAGACCTCTGGACCATATATTGTAGAAATGCAGTCCCGACGCATGAAACAATTGTTCTTCAGTGAATAATGGCCGGCGGTCACCATCCTTACCTTCTTAGTGGTGATTGGCATGCCAATATTTCATGCCGAAATTTCAGCAGATATGACATAAAAATAAATAAAAAGTGAGGTGCTTTTTAATGCGAATTTATCGAAAGTATTTAGATATGAATTATTTAACATTTCATTTATTATTATTTAATTTAAAACTCATAAAATGAGTTAGAATAGTTGATATAAAAAATTAATCAAAATACGTTTAACTTGTTGATTATTTAACACTTTACCCATTTTCAACTATTTCAACTCATGGCAGATGTATTTTGATAGTTTTTTTAAATATTAAATATAAAATACATTAAATGTTTAATAATTAATGTCATAAGTAAATTTTTATCAATTTCATTAAATAATTGACAATCATGACTTAAAGTAGTTGATATTTTAATAGTATATTAATTAAGGGTGTGGTTTACCCTAACAATGAAAGCAAGGTACACATCCAACGTTTATCATGAGATGCAAATTTTTTTTGAGGGGTCATTCAATGGAGAAGACAAGCCTCTACCCATTTTTAAAATAGTTTAGGAGTTAGTTTACTTTTTAAGGTGTTAGTGGGGTAGTGTAGGTGGAAATGAAAACTACATTATGACTAGGGTGTGGGGGTGCTACCACCACGACCTCGGTAAAAAATTCTCAAGATAATGCGAGAATCTATTTTTATATTTAATTACAAAATTTCAAACTTTAAACATATTTCAAATCAAGTAGATCTATAAATGCTTAAAAATATTGAAAATGGATGGTCTAGATAATGTTGCCAAGTGTACTATTTTTGAGATTTGAAATCTCTTTTTTTCTTCGTATCTATACCTCTTAGGGCAAGCTTTCTATGCTTCCTTACAGCATAAAAATTATGGGAAAGCATTCTATGTTTCCCCTACAATATTAAAGTTCTATCCTCCCCTTATCCAACCGTCCATGTTTTAATGGAGGGTTAAGATTGCCTCAATCACAATGTCACGTCTCTATATTGTTTTATTTTTAATTTTTTTTGTAATCCTTTTTTACACCAAATTTTTTATGTCTATTCCTCTATTAAACTCTCACTAACAAAAAATATAAAAAAAATATTTTCAATAAAATAAAATAACCAAAATACCCATGAAAATTTTAAGGGGTATTTTGGTCATTATTTTTTATCAAAATTTTATTGTTAATATTTTTTATAGCTGCACCCCAATGAGAAGATTGCACATACCAAATTTCATATTCAGAAAATTTGTATTAAAAAAACTAAAAATAAAATACTTTAAGACGTTGGATCTAATATCAAACGGTGAGTGGCTCTCTTGATAAAAAATGGACCGCTGGATGGTAGGGGGAAGATAAACTTCTATGTTGTAGGGGGAATATAGAAAGCTTTTCCAAAACTTATATACTTCCCCTTAACCAACCCTCCATTCTGAATGGAGTGCTAATATTGCCCCAATCACAATGTCATGTATCTACACTATTTTATTTTTAATTTTTTTCTATAAACTATTTTGACACTAAATTTTGAATGTCCAATCCTCTATTAAACTCACACTAGTGAAAAATATAAAAAAATATTTCCAATAAAATAAAATTACCAAAATACCATTGAAAAATTCAAGGGGTATTTTGGTCTTTATATTTTATCAAAAAATTATTTTTAATATTTTCTATAGGTGCGCCCCAATTATAAATGGCACGTACGAAATTTCATATCCATACAATTTGTATAAAAAAAGCTAAAAATAAAATACTTTAAGCCATCAGATCTAAAATCAAATGGTGAATGGCTCTCTTGATCAAAATTGGATGGCTGGATGGTAGGGGAAGCATAGATTTTTTATGGTGTAGAAGAAGTATAGAAACCTTTCCCTACTTCTTAATGTCCAAATGATCAATTAGATGTCTTCTATTTTAAGGTGTCAAACTTACATAAACTTTTTCCATTAATAAATAGGTGACATATTAAATAGTTGATATTTTTAAAATTATTTTATACATTTAATGTTTTCTAATTAAGTATGTAAATTATAGTCCGGTGGAAGCATACAATAAATTTAATCCCTGGGATAGATAACTTGGGAGGAATTTTTCAAATAAGAAATTTTGTACACCACCTAAGAATCACTAGACGATTATTTTTAAGACTTGGTTAACATGCGGCCAAGCCCGCACGTGTAAAAATGCGGGCCCCCTTAACAAATTTATTCTTGAAATATAATTCGATCCTAATTTTTAGAAACTATATAATATTTAACATGGAGATCATGAATATGGAAAAATAAATAAAATTTGAAAACTAAAAATAATAATTACATTAATAAAATATTGGGATCGTTAGTTTCAATTGTTTTTAGATGGGCTACCTATTTGTATTGATCTTTAAGATGGATGCTTTATATGCATATTGTACAAATGTTTTCCAGCCTGCATGAAACAATTGTTCTTATTTTTTTAAAAAAAAATTTGAAATTTAAGTTTTCGAACACTTAGATCTTACCGCATAGTTTAATCTTAAGACATTAATATATAGATTGAAGATGTTATATCCCTAAATTTTAGATCTTATAATGATTGTTAAATTAGGTTTTACCTGAGGAAATAAATGGACAGTATGCTTTGGTGGGAATACAAAATTGTTCGACTTCTTAAAATATCCATGATTCAGCGCTTAAGGAGATATTCGATGGAGTAAATTTTTTGGTGAGAGAGAGTAGTTTCTTTTTGGAGACAGAGAAGATCTTCTCCTACTAAATTTTTTCTTTGGACAAAGTGAGCTCACTTTTTTGGCTTCTTTTCATAGACTCCTAAAGTAGTCCCATTTCACATTTCTCATTCAATTCTCACACACAATACTTGCAACATTTCCATGTTTATATCCTGCATTCTGGGCCTCTTACATAATTTTCTTAATTTTAATTCAAATAATTATTATAAAATTAGCAATAGAAGAAGTGGTGTTTATTCCGAGTCGGCTCGCCGATTCCAGTACTCAAGATTCCCCTAAAACGTTTTCAAGAGAGAGAGGGAGAAAATTGAAGACTAGAAAGTCGTCAAGTCTGAGTGAATCATCTGGTTCTAGGCAATTCGAGCGATTTCTTTGTTTTGGACCAAGTTTATCCCCCAATCCAGGCGGCACGAAATTTTAAGAGAGAGAGTGTGGTGAGGGAGAGAGTACTCGTTGCGTCTATTGCCTTTGTTTATGTGAGACCCATATTATTGGCAACATTTACCGTATTGCACAACATTTATGAATAGGACACGGTTTTTATGAGTCCATGTAGAAATAAGTCACCTCTTAAAAATTTACTTTTGAGATGGATTTTTGGACTTAATTTTTAAAGACATGGAGATAATAAATATGAAGAAATAAATAAATTTTAAAAAATAAAAATAATAATTCTATTAAGAAAATATTTGGTCTATTAGTTTCAATTGTGTTTAGATAGACCACCTATTTGCACCCATCTTTAAGATGGATGCTTTATACCTCAAGGACCGTAAATGTAGAAATGCAGTCCCCACCACATGAAACAATTTTCCTTATGAATAACACACATATACCCACATTCCTTGTATTTTATGTACTAACTAGAAATTCATAAAAAACAAACGTATTGGCAACATTTATGAATACCCGCATACACCCATATTATTCAGGCCACGTCTAGTTGGACCTAGATCCATATCCGAATAGTATTTGGGTCCAAATTTTGGACCTAAACCCAATCTTTCAGGTACAAAATTTAAACCAATATCCAGACCCGAGGTGGGATCCCGAGCCTGGTCGGATCCATTGCCACCCCTAAATGAGAGTGAACATGAGAGTGTGTGTGTGAGAGTGAGAGAAAGAGAGTCATAATTTGGTGGGTAGCTTTCTAGGCTCACGAGAAACCGTAGGGGAGCTTAAACCAACTTTTCTCTCACAATGCTCAGTTGGAAGTTTGAAGAGTCAGTCAAGGCAACAACAAAAGGGAAATGACACCTTAATACGCAGCAAAAACCACACCTCAGTGATGCATGAACCAGACTTTAATTAGAGAGAGACTAAACAAAACAAAAACCACTCCTCATGAACAAGACTTAATTGAGAAGGAGAGACTAAACAAAAGAATTAATTAGAGGGAGACTAAACACAACAAAAACCACTCCTCAGTAATGCATGAACAATATTTAATTGAGAGAGAGACTAAACAAAAGAAAAAGGACCCAGTTTATATACGACCGCATATGTAGAAATGCGGTCCTGTTAATAAATCTATTTTTGAGATGGATTTTAAAACTTAATTTTTAAGGACATGTAATCGAGATCATGAATATGAAAAAATAGGTAAAATTTTAAAACTAAAAATAATATTTCTAGTAAGAAAACATTTGGACCATTAACTTCTACTTTTTTTAGATGAAGCACTTACTTGCATCCATCTTTAAGACAGATGTTTTACACTTTTTGGGCCACATATGTAGTCATGCGGTCCAGCCCGCATGAAATAATTTTCCAAAGGAAAGTGAGACTTAATTCCTAACTGATGCATGAACTAGACTTTTACAGAGAGAGAGAGAGAGAGAGAGAGAGAGAGAGAGAGAGATGAGGTGTATTAGAAGTACTTAATAAGAGAGAGAGAGAGAGAGAGAGAGAGAGAGAGCGCGATGAGGTGTATTTGAAGCTTTAATAAGAGACTGTAGTGAGAGAGGAGGAGGTGTATGTGAAATTCAGGTGCATCAGAGATAATTCAGTGTGATCTTTGGAAGTAGGAGAGAGAGAGAATAGAAAAGCCTTTGTAATTTCAAGAGTTGGAATTACACTCATAAGGAGAGGAAAATTCATTCTCATCAAAATTAGAGTTGGGGTGAGAGAATCTAAAAACATTTGTGATTTCAAAAAATGGGGAGATAAATTCTTTAGGTGGGTACCAGAATTTCCAAAAATAGAGAGAGAATTAAACTCATGCTTATCGCTTAACGTGTTTTTAGTGCGACGATTTAATCGCTTCGACTAAAGGAAAAAGTTTATATAAGGTTGCAACTTTAAAATGCAGAATTAACGTGCATCTAAAAAATCCATCATAAAATGGTTTTTTGATGTTAGAAAACTCTCTAATTGAATATGAAAAGGAAAAAAACAATAGTGTATCTTATCTGACCATCTATTTTCAAAATTTTCAAGCGTTCATATATCTATTTGATTTGAATCATTTTTAGGGTTTAAAATTTTACAATTAGATATCAAAATAGATTCTCAAGAATTTTTTACATCATTAGAATAATATTTATAATACATTTTGGAGGTGTGCTTTAATTTAATTCTTACATTAGAATTATATTTATGATACATTTTGGAGGTGTGCTTTAATTTGATCGTTTAAAGTTGCAACCTTATACAATCTCGCATTCGATTAAATAACCTAAAAATCAAGCCACAAGTATGCTACAAAACATAAGATACCTAGAGAGAGAAAGAAGTATTACAAGTAGAAAAAGGCAAAATGAAAAAGAAAATAAGATACCTAAAACCCATACTATTCTTTGACCAGTTGAGTGTGGCGACTGAATAACCAAAACGCAGGACTAAAATAGGCTTCAGAATTCTAGAAATAAGAATAGCACTGTACATGGACTGCCAAAACCAAAAGACTTGCAGAGAGAGATATTATTCATGTACTCTCCATTACAAAAAGGGTTGATAATTAATCTGTAAAACCCAAAAAAAATCCCACACTGTAAACCAGAAGCAGCACATTTACAGAGACTAACTAGATTCACTTCCATAAACTAAATCAATCAATAATTTTGTCAGCTTAAATAAGTAAATAACTGCCAAAAGGAATGGAGCTTTCCCCCAAAATAATTCATGAATTCATCACTCAACTCCTTCCAAAACCCCCAAAAATTCCTGAATTTCCCCACTCAAAGACACTGAAATATTGCCCAAACCATGCTCTCATCTTCCAAACTTATGATTCAAAGGTCATGAAAAGAGCTTCTCTCCTTGAGTCTAGAGCTCAAATAAGCACCATAATCAGGCACCACCTCCACCATACTGAAAGCAAATCCCAAATCCTCATCTTCGATAGGCATCACCCCATTAAGATCTATAAACTCCATTCTCTCTCCATTCTTTTGCTCTCCTCCCAATTCAACTTCTCCTTCCCCATTCTTTCTCTCTCTTCCCAATTCAACCTGAGGATGGCGAGCTTTCAACTTTGCTTGATGCTTCTCTCTGTCAAAATGCCTCCTCATATGTCCACCTAAAGCCTGACCCGAATCAAACCTTTTGTGACACAAAGTGCATATATGGCTCCCCTGTCTTTCCGGCGGGAGTTTTTTGTCGCCGGACACTGGAATTTCAGACCCAATTACCGAATCTTGAGCTTTCTCTTGTTTTACCTCCTCCTCTCTGTTATTAGTTGAGGAGACTCCAAGGAGAAGCTTCCTCTTCTTTGAATCATGGCGGGTCGAAATGATTTCATCTTCCCCTGAATTTCTCTGAGGAGGTTTAGATTCAGAAAGAGGTATTGATTCAGAAAGCATGAGCAAGTTATAAGCAACCTCAGTTTCTTTACTGCTTGTGAAAACTCCCTCAAATTTATTACTCTGCAAATTTTTATTTTCAGCTATAGTTCTATTCCTTCTTCTCGATCCAGTGACCGACCAATTCGAGAGGGGCGAGAGATGATCACGCTTTGAGAGAGGCGAGAGATGATCATGTTCCTTCGAGCTTGCTTCTGTAATGGTGGCATCAGTTTGATACGACGAACTTTCCGAGGACTTCCTGGCGGAACCATTGCTGCAGGAGTGCTTGACCTTTTCTGACAAGCCATTGCTGGTTGAGCCACTGCTGACGTTTTCCAGCGGCTTACCGGTTTCACCATTGCCGAAAATTTTGAACATCTTTCGGTCATTCTTTCCTGACAAGCCATTGCTGATTGAGCCACTGCTGACGTTTTCCGGCAGCTTACCGGTTTCACCATTGCTGAAAATTTTGAACATCTTTCGCTCATTCTTTCCTGCCAATACAGGCTTCTCAGGAGGCTGAATCCCCCTCCAATTTCTCTCGGGGTGGCACCTCATGTGACCAAACAGCGACTTTAAAGATGGAAAAGTCTTCTTGCAGAGAGTACAAACTGGTTCCTGTTGGTTTTTCTTCTTTGTTTCCTCTAATGTTCTTTTTCTCTCTCCTCTGCAACCTTCTTTTATCCTCCCTTTCTCATCTTCCAAGCCCATCTTATCACTATCAGTGAAGTCTGCAAAAACCCAAAATATGAAACTTAGATTAGACAAAACTCATATCAGAATACTTTGGTAAGAAGAAAAGAACCCCATATCACAAAATCTTAGTTCAGAAAGAACCCATATAAGGAAAAGAGCTTGAAAGAAGTAAGCCATGACTGGTTCAAGAAGCTGCAAAAACTTACCATAATTGGAATGCTTCTCATGGGCTTTGACGTGAGCTCCAAGAGATCGCTCCGAGCTGAACTTGAGGTTGCAGAACTTGCAGCTATAATGGCGTGAAGCTCCACCGACCTGATCAATCTGAGAAGTCACTGATTCAGGGGAGCTGGTTTTACATTGAGAGTCTGCTTTCTTCGACACCTTGATCCTGATCTTCATCCTCGAGGTCGATTGGTTTCCATCAATGGAACTCGGTTTGTCCCCAGAACCAGAGGAAGCTGAAGAATCAGAGTTTTTGCGATCCATGGAAGTTTCTTCTCAGATAGCTTTCTTTATGGAGAAAATCCCTTGGAGCTGCAGTAGAGAGAGAAATACAGAGAATGACACAGAATCAAACTCAAAAAGAACAAAAGGGATATTATAATATTTATTTACTGTTGAGGATTTCAAGAGTAATAAAATATTAGGCGGGCGATTACATGATGCATTCACAGTCCACCATTGGAATAGATAGAGAGAGGAATAAGAGAGAGAGAGAGCTTGAAACAATTCAAAGAACCCAGTTCTCGCTGAAAAACAACTTACGGTTTTTGGGTTTTCTTTTCTAGATGAGGAAGAAAGGTAAGTGTAGAGAGAGAGAGAGAGAGAGCTGAACTTACAGAAAGGAGCTGAAAATCACAGGACCTGATCAGAGGCACACAAAGGAACAAAAAAGAGGTGGAGAATACTAAGAGAATGGAAAAGAAGAGAGAGAAACAAGACTTAAAAGAGTTATAGAGAGAGAGAGAGAGGGGTAGAGTTAGAGAGAGAAAGAGAGGTGCTCCTCAACTGTGAGGATTGACTGTCACGTTCCCGGTTCCTGTTCCCTTATTTTTCTGCCTCACTCAAATTTTTGAATTACTTTTTAAGATTCTCTCACCCTACAAATGACGATCCTAACCCTACCCTAAATTCCTAAATAAAAAGCTCTCGATAACAATGCCGTGAAATAGGGACCAGATAGGGGTAAAATAGTCTTTGGAGATAGATATCGCAAAATTTTTATAATTATCTCAAAATTCACCTTTTTGGAATTTTGTTATTTTCCTCCCGATTCTTATCGGTGATACCCCGGGAATTAACCAATAAAAAAGCAATAAATATTGAAAGGATTTCCCATTTTTAGAAACTTAGGATATGCATTCAATTTCCAAGGGTTTACCTCAGTCAATGGTTCCAAGTTTCTTAAAAATTGAGCTGATTTCCCTCAAACAAACCGTCTTTTATTTAAACATAATTATCTCATTACGCGGTTTTCAATTAAACGACGAATGCCGGAAATTTGATTTGGGTGCCCCGGAAAATCACCGCAAAAACCAGAATATGGATATGTCCATCTTCATCATTATCCACCCTGTATCTTATATATGCTCTTTTGGGTAAAAAATGCGATTACTTCAAATCTCAAAGTGTGAACATAAAATCACACTAGTGGTTTCAATAAATCTTAATTGCTAAAAGACCCACTGCTTTTAAGCGCAAAAAAATGGTTTTCAGCTCAAATTAATGGTTATCTTTTTATCTCTCTAAATCATTTTTTTTATCTTCCTATCTATTTCATTTTTTATTTTTTCTCCCCCTAAATGCTCGGTCAGTGTGAAACCGCTTTTGGGTTAGTGTATATTGCCCAAAACTGCTCAATTACTGGTTTTTGGTATCCAATTGTGACAAAATACCACTATTGGTAATTAAAATTGGTATCTTACCTTTTTAAGATTATTCTCTTTTTTATTTTGATTCGGTTATTGGGCTTTTTTTATAATTTTTAAAAATGAAAATCACGAAGGTGGTTATCGATTTTTGGATGCTTTTTGTTGAATATGTTAAGAAAGTAGCTCTTGGGTACCCCAAATTTCGCGGGAACATAGCTCTAAGCCATTATGGAGCAGTTATTTTTGGTGGAAAAATTACCTTTTGGCAAGGTTTTGCCGGAAATTTAGCCGGAAAACTTTTAACCAGCGGTCCAAGACCCTTTTCCCGCGCTTATAGAAAGTCTTCTTCCCTCTGATTTCCCAAATGAGAAATGACCAAAACAGCCCTTTCCTTTTTTAATAATTACACAAAATCCAACTCATTGAAAAACGATTTAAACCCTTTAATTAATATGTTTAAATCTTTCCCACTAAATTCGGTATTAATCCTTTAATTATCCCCTCTAAATCTGCTTAAATTTAGTTATTGTGTGGGCCCCACGTGAAGAGCTGTATCGACCCCACTCGCCCCGCCGTTACGGATCCTCTAACACTTAAATTTATATAGTGACAATGATAACCTGATCTTTTTTCAAAATGACCCACCGTTATATCCTGTGCTGTGGCATTTAGGGACGTGTTGCCTAGGCAGTACAAAATGACTGTGGTAGGGTGGGAATTGGTTTGGTCGACCCGTGGATCCGACGAGGTTCGGGTTTGGACCTAGATTTTTTGATCGATTGGATCTGGATCTGGATCTGGATCTGGATCAGGTCTAGGTTTGGTCTAGCTCAAATCTTGTCAGGCCAGGCCCAGTTTAGGTCGGGGTCAACCTAGACCCAACCTAAAACATTCCCACCCCTACTATATGGATTTGTGCTTTTGCGGCTCAGGTCATGTTCTCAACTCTATTGAAGCTGCATCGCATAAACTAAGGGTATAAATGGGTCAGGTCTGGGTGGGCCTCGACCTAACTCGTCCAAGGTAAGAGCCAAACTTGTCTAAGTCTTGGTTGGGTCAAGGTTGATGGGACCTAAACCAAGGTCAGGTCCCAAATGGAAAATTTATAAAGAACATGTTAAATACGTTTTGTAATAGAACATATGTGTTTATATATAGTAAATAGCAAGTTAGACTTGAGCCCGACTGGAGCTGACATGATAAAGTCCATACTAGTACCGGAACCCACCTAACCCGATTCTTGGATCTGTACATCTGGACCAGAACCCGGCCTTCTGGGTACACAAAGTTGGACCCAAATTCAGACCCTATTTGGACCAACCAATTGAGTCCCTGATTTGACCTAACCTAATTGACAACCCTATCGGAAACCCACCAAAAAAACTACCATTCATGTACTAGGCCCTATATGTTTGAAAACTCTTATGATGTCCTACAATACATTCTCACCCTTGATATTGCAATTGAATAAACAAGGTGCATATGTGAATACTTTGAGGGGAAAGTTTATATAAGGTTGGAACATTATATTATAATAAAAGTAATGTGCACATCAAAAGTTCTAATAGAAAAAAATGTCATGAAGGTGGAAAACCTCCAAATTGATCATCTCGTCGTCTAGATGTATATATGGTATAAAGAAAAAAAAAAATTCAAAACTTCATCTTGTATCAAGTTACAAACAATACTTCATTTTGTATCAAGTTACAAGATTGTATATTTTCAAGATTTCACAATGTTTATAGATTTATTCGTTTTCAATATTTAAATTTATGGTTAGCGTTGAACATGGATTTTCAAACCATCATAAGGGTTCCAACGGTGGAATTGTATCTCAAAAAAAAAATTAAAAGTTGCGCCTTACTTGTATAGTATAACGTGGCTACGATATACAAACCTCAGTCCACACTTGAAATAGGTGATTATGTTACAAGGCATACCATTTTTGAGGACTTAGAATTCATTTTTCTCAAAACTATATTTCCTGGCAAGATTTGAAGTCGGCTTTATAAAATTTCTTCACGCTAGGAAATACATTTCCTTTTTTAAAGGACCCGGTTTCTATGCGGCCAAGCCCGCATGTGTAGAAATGTGGGCTTCTTAACGAATATATTTTTGAGGTAGATTGTAGGACTTAATTTTTAAAGACATATAATCTTTTAACATGGAGATCATGAATATGAAAAAATAAATAAATTTAAAAACTAGAAATAATAATTTTAGTAAACAATTAGTTTCCATTATTTTTAGATGGAACACCTACTTGCATCATCTTTAAAATGCGGTCTAGCCCGTATGAACCAATTTTCAAAATGCGGTCCAGCCCGGATGAACCAATTTTCTTTTTCTAAATCCATTTTCTCGAGGCAACAAGATTTTGAGGGTAAAATAGGAATTTTCCTCTCAACTAATCATCTTCTTGAGCATTTTCCTCTGGCTAACTTTATAGTATTAAAAAACAAGTTTTATTATATAAGATAAACATAAAACATATTTTATAGCTTTTTCAAGATCATCCACTTTCTTTCTAACTTTTTATCTCAATTTTCCTCTGGCTCAGCTTATGGTATTAGAAAAAAAAGTTATATTATATAAGATAAACATAATACCTATTTGATAGATTTTTCAAGGTCACCCAATTTATTTTTTAACTTTTTCCTCAAGGATACATCTCTCCAAAACTGATTTATCTCTCTAAACTTTGATTCTTTACGGGATTTTTTAACAAGGTCAATAAGGGCAGAAAATTTGAGATACAATTATTGTATATTTTTTAATAAACTTTGAGATAACTTGAATAAGTTTGAAGTAACTTTGAGATAACTTGAATTTGAAGTTAATCCGTTTCAGTCTTTATCTCTATCTTAAAAAGCAAAGCTAAAAGCTATGTTCGTGTGAAGATTTCAACGCCTAGAGAAAGGGAGGAGAAATATGGAGAAATGAGACACGTTGAAAAGACCCACTTTGTTCTACTGCTCCGAAGGCCCGTACCTCGGAACTTGGACTCTCATAACTGATAACCGCAACATTCTACCTTCCCCCCCTCTCTCTCTCTACTAAACATTTTCTTCTTCTCTCTCTACAATTCTACCTTCCCCCTCTCTCTCTCTCTACTAAACATTTTCTTCTTCTCTCTCTACAATTCTACCTTCCCCCCTCTCTCTCTCTCTTTACTACGCATTATGTTGTTCTCTCTCTACAAGTCTACCTTCTCCCCTCCTCTCTCTCTCTCTCGCTCTACCATTTTACCCTGGGGTATAAACGGATTGGGCTGGCCCCAATATCGGATCCTATACAATTTAGGGCTGATTTGACCCAAATCAGGTAGGTATTGGTTGAAAGCAAACCTGGCCCAATGGAGTCCACCCGGTGCGTTTTTACCTGGACCGAGTTGCTTGGATGCACCCAATCCTTAATATTGAACTAGTGATTTAGAAGCTTAGATCGTTCTGGTGAACTTGCTATCTAGAAACTAGTCTGAACCTGTGAATTGTCGATCTAGATCAGATGGCCGATCCATATTGGTGATCTGACCAACTCTCTCGGGTCAGATTTGGTTAATAAAAAATAAAAATTTGAAAATGTAATAATAAAAAACTATGCAAATGAAATATGTGGGTAGGGGGCATATTGGCTGGTCTGTAATTGCCTAGTTCCCTAACAGTCTGGTTCCATAGGAGCCGAACCGATTCCTAGTTCAATCGTAACCAGATTACTTATTGAGTCCGACTACAAACTGCGTTAATCAACCACTAATTCCCAATCTGGATAGGATGATCGCGAGTTTTCAAATGCTATTTTGGACGCTGCAATTTTATCCCCAAGAGTAAGAGGAAGAATACGGGATAAGGGTTGTCACTACGTATTCTTGAGAGCATATTGCATGCTCTTAGAGATCATCATCATCATCCTAGTTTTTTTCCAATTAATTGGGGTCAGCTACAAAAATCTTGGTGCCATTATGCTCTATTAAATATCATATACCCTCAGTGAGACCATAAGTCTATTTATTTTTTATCATTACTTCCAACCATG